ATGCTTACGGCGCAATGAACTCTACGAACGAAGAATTATGCAGCTGCAGTTTGTTAGATGTGCACGACCTTTGTCGGAGCACTGATTCTGACACTATAATTTACGTTTTTAAGAGAGTGGAAAAGAAGAAACCCTGATTTCTCTCTTATTACGTGAAACGCTGATGTATAGATGTAATATTGATGTGCAGTAGTAGAAAGTACAAAGTACATTTCTGAAAGCAATCGTTTTTATACCAAGACATATAAAATTTTGACATAGTTCAAAGCAGTGAAAATTGAAAAGATAGATTCATTATTTAAATTGCAACGACTTTAAATTTTATACAACTTCATTTGGAAAAGTCATTATTTAAGCAACTTTAAGTCTATAATTATTGAGTCAGAGTAAATAAATACAAATAATTGGTATAGGAACATAGTATATTCACAGTCTGGAAAATTGAAGCAAATCCTAATAATGACTCATGTAGATTCAGTTAACTATCACCAGCCAATAACTTTCACATACTTAAATATGTGAATACTTTTTTTAAACTCTGCTGATTCAATTCGTTAGATGAATTATAATATAACTTGATGAATATTTAAAATAATATTGATATTTGCTGTAATCTATAAATATTTGCTGTAACATATGTATAACATCTGTTATAATGGTAAAAGTTTTAAAAGACAGTATTAAATACACACCATCATAACATCTGTTATAATGGTAAAAATTTTAAAAGACAGTATTAAATAGAAACATGTATAACATCTGTTATAATGGTAAAAGTTTTGAAAGACAGTATTAAATAGAAATCGTCAATTTTAGGAACTAGATTGGCTCTAAATAAAGGGAACTGCTTTAATACATCTGAGGCTCTTTTAAAAGCTATCAATAATAAAAGAAAATATAAAAATCATTTGAGTATATCTGCAGATTAATATCAGCAAGCATCGATTAATATATTAGCAGCATATATTAGCAACATGTATTAAATTAATATATAATATAGCAAGCATAAAATTGAAAATTATATTATCTAATTGTTAAGTTCTTTTTATTTCCAGAAGAGAATCTACTACTTGGAACTTGTAGGAAAGGGAATTTAAAATAAAATAAATTTCAGGCTTTTTTTAGGCTTGAATTCAAGAAATTTGACTAATTTAAATAAAGCTTAAAAGTGAATTCGTTGAAGAATCTGTGATCATTTGGATTTCATTTGGTTTACAACTTCAAAATAATCCAAGAGGGTTAGATTTAGGTTAGGTCATTTCTTCCAGATCACCAGATCACAAAAGTGACGAGATCATTTTTCTTTCAAAATGTTTTAATTTCCTTTGATTATTTTATTCAAAAAATAGCATACATTATTGGCACGAAAGAGTTTATGTTGTGAAAAATTATTCTAACTCTGAAAGAGCTAAATGGAAGAAATTTGTTTTAATTGCTGACACGAATTACAGATTGGTAATTCTATTCTTTCAACTACTTGTTGCTCTGAGGAATTGTAAAGAAAAAGAATCCGACTTCTCTTTCTTTCTATGAAGTTTTGAATGAATTAATTCAACCTTGCTAATAAAAAAATGTATCGATCAATTACATTTAAATACAGGTATAATATAACTGTCTGAATAGATCAGAAATTTCACTGCTTGTTATCTCAATCGATAAATAATAATTAAGTTAAACATTAAATGTTTGTTATCGTGCAATATTTTCTCACGTTATTTAAATATGCAATATATGTATAATATAATATATTAAATGTACTTATATGTGTATAAATTTATGAATGTTTCTGTTACAAGATAATTGTTGTCTAAATATAAATATGTAAAACAACTTGACGTAATATAATATTTAATTTAAAAGGAATAATGATTCGTTTAAATGATTATTGAATAATTGTACAATAAGTATCGTTGAAGGAATGAAAAGATACTAAGGATTGAATCCTTAGAAGAAATGAACAGAAAGCGTCATCAATTTAGCTTAAATCGAACAATGCCGTGTATTAACCTGTCTTTTATCGTCGCTATTTAATTGTAATTAAATCATCTTTCTAGCTTGAGAGTATTAGTCCTCGTCACCGTTCGTAATGATTAATTGTTTCAGCCATAAATGTTTCTACTTAATCAGTAAACACTAACAGATCATTAGTTCACTCTCATGTTGTTTGATGTCACTGCATCAAACTTTTAAGATATATTTCCAGATAAGAGGTTGCAAAAATTATATTGTATTATAATGTAATGTTTGATTTTAAAACTGCACGATGGACTTTTTATGGAAAAATAAAGGAAAAGATATAGAATAAAATTTTTTGATTCGAGGCTCTATTTTTGAGAAAATCGAATTTGAAAGTTTATCAAGTATATGTGCAAGGAAATTTTCAACGAAATATATTCAAATCTATTTTCTTGAAAATGAAGCTAAATGAAAAACTCTTATCCTACATTTTTTACGTATTTTTATGTATTTAAAATAACTTCATTAATTATTCTTTTCTGTCATGTATAAAATTAGCTAAATTTAAGTGTTAAATTTTAAAACTTTTCGAATTCGATTAATAAATTTTCAAACTATCTATTTTCAAAAATGAAGTCTCAAATAAAAAAATTTTATTTTATATTTTTCCTTATTTTTTCATAAAAAATCACGCCTGTTTTTACATGTTATTCAGTCTGTATATGTTTATTGTATAATACACGGAATTTTGGTTACAAAACTTTCGTTTGGTTACAGACGATAATGTAAGTAATGTGATTTCAAGATCCTGAAGAAACAATTCAAATTTGAAAGGATAATTCAGATTGTCTTAGTAGGCAAATTAGATCGCTCCTCCTTGTAATTGTTTTCTACACATTCGATGTGTTAATAGGATTCCCTTGATTATAATTGATTAACCATCGTCTGGCTAATAAGTTCTTCATGAATCCATTGATATCTTTCTATTCGAAGATAATACAATCAATACAATCACTTGAACGGTTAATTTTATCCATTTTGCTTCGTTTCATCATGCTTGTTACCGAAAAGCTTTTATGTAATTCAATTTGAACTCAATTTGCAACATAATGTCTGATCTAGAACCACTTTTCAAATCTCTTCATGTCTTCCCTCTTCCATATTTCTATATGTTTATATCTCCATTCTTTTGCATAAGTTATTTGAACATCTATTTTTTTTTCTGTTTTTAGCTTAATTAATTTGAAATAATAAAATTGAAATCATGTTTAATACACAGAATACACGTTGATTATAAAATTCGAAGAAGCATTTGAAATTTTTATGGCATCTCGTATTTTATTTGTTAGTCGAAAACTTATATATATATATCCCTAAAGTTCAAATTTCAATGTTAAAA